AATATTTTAACCCAATTCGTGGATGAAGGCGAATAATTTATTAATTTAACTTTACGTAAGGGGAAAAAATGTATGCAGGGCCCCAATGGAAACCAGTTTTAACTGTTACGGCATACACGGGGCAAAGAAATGGGATAAATAAATTAATGATTAAATAAATAAATTTGTTTTAACAATATACAAGCGTATATTGATGTTATGTATCTAAAAAGTATGAGATACCAAATTAATGAAATGGGTGCAGGTAGTTCACACAATTACAAAAAGAATACTTTTTAAAATTAACTTAGGGTAAACAGGCAAAGTTCAAACTGTAATTTGTACTTCTTATCAGTAATTTGCTAAAACAAAATCAAATGTGCACTAAAATGAATCAATCAGCCAGTTTACAAACAATTTACGTCCGATTCCTATATACATGATACGATGTTTATTTTAATGAACTCTGCTTAAAGACTCTCAGGAGGCGTCAACAGTACCTAGTATGTTATTACAGCTGGTCCGAAGACTTGGGCACTTTTAAAATGTTGAATTTGAACAAGAATATTTTCCTAACAAAGCTTTGCCGAAGATATAACATTTACAACGGGATGCATGTTCCGGTAGTTCAGTAAGTAAACAGTGAAATTATTGTAATTGTTGGATGATGGGATGGTTGGTTGTTGATGTTTTTCGTATATAATTAATGTTTTGATTTTTTTTTGTCCTCATGATTATAATGTCTTCTACGGAAATTTGTAAAATTCTACAAACGTACGTGTTTATCTAATTTCATGCTAAACGGCTGACCCACGCTTTGTTCAATCTGAGACATTATGAAAACTGATTTTTTTTTTTTAAATATCATTGGCGACTCCAAGAAACTAACTACGGTCTCATTTGGAGTTAGTTCTATTCTATTACGCATATATAAGTTCCACGTTCACGAAGGAAATAAAACAACAGCATGATCAATTCATCGTCCTGAAACCCATCATACACTGTGCACGGTGCAGCCACGTAGGCTCGTTGCGTAATCACAATAGCCTTTGTATTAGAGTGGGAATCCCGTGACATCACATCAATGACTCATCGAAGATGGCAAACAAGTTGTTACTAGCCTGGACTTGTCCGGCCAGTCGTCCGGTCCGGTCCGAATTCGCGGTGTTTTTTTTTTTTTTTTACACACACATACACCATGCGTACACGTACATTATGCTATCACTTTTTAATTTACAACACCGTTCGATGCGCATCGACAAGGCCGGTACTAAAAGAGTGCTGAAGTGTAAGTTTTACTGTAAACTTGAAAGTCATTTTGGAGTATCTACGCAACTCATCAGAGACAAGGTACGTGCGTGTTCCGCAAGACAATTGAACCTAATGGGGTTTTTTTTATACATGCATTTAAATGTGATGAGAAACGTTTGAGTGATTGACTCTGCATATATTTTTTATTTTTATTTTTTTTTAATTTTGGTGTCGTTTTTTTTCATTTCTCTCTAATTGACTTACAGGGTTGACTATAGCATCGGCCTCTCAGCGTAGTGCCGTAGAAGTGAGACTTGATGAAAACAAAACAAAAATGCAAGAACCCCCTCTCCCCACAAAGAAGAGAGAGAGCGAGAGAAAAGCATTTTTAAATATTTTATTTTATTTCTATTTTGTTTTGTTTTGTGAGTTATCTTTTTAGAGGTATGAGTACAACGAGAAAAACAATAAACAAAATAACATTTCTGTTACGTAAAAATGTACAAAATCTGACTGACTATAGCAATTTGCAACCCGCACTTCTTTCCACGTACGTAAGACATCCGTGCAAAACCATGATTTGGAACGTGTGATAGACATATGATAGATTCTGGAGCTGCTGTAAATTCTGACCAAAAAAAAAAAACTCACAAAATAATAAATATATCGATAATTTAAGAGTCATTTCGGTACGATTTGTCGCGCATATGCGACGTGCATATAAAGGGAAATAATTTCAAGTCGACGTGAGGCTTGGGTCAAATACAGGAAGCTTAAAAGCTCAACAAATTGAACCAAAAAGAAGGAGTAACAGACCACTTGCTGGCGTTTTCAAGTTCTTTCCATAATTTTCAAAAAAAAAAGAGGAAAAAATTGACTTATTAATGAACTGAAACAGACTACACAAATTTTTTTTTAAATAAATACCATTATTTTAAATGTTTTAACAGATTATATTTCAGAGTTAATAACAACGTATTTTAATGACTTGTTTGTAATTTATTTTTCATTTTGAAAGACTGTTTAAAGTAGCATTCTCAGATATTTTTAATTATTATTTCATACTACATGTAGAATCAATAACCGCAATATTTTTCATAATAAACGACACATGTATCGTTGACTAGTACGATATTATAACGACACATGTATCGTTGACTAGTACGATATTTTCCCTAATACCAGTGTTCCATACACGAACAAGAAAAAACACCCCAAACAAACAAACAAACAAACAAACAAACAAACTGCGTCAATGTTCGAGTGGATGACTTACGAAAAAAAGCAATAATTTTCAAAATGGATACTTAAGAAACTTAATCCGCAAAGAATAAAGCGTATACATTGTAATGACCACTAGAGACGTGAAAAGATAAAAACTATTCTCCAAATTATACGTTCTGTTCGATTGAAGAAAAAAAAAATCAGCACATGTATCTGCACGAGAAAATAGAACCGAGTACGGTTTTCTTAAATTTCTTTTTCATGCATTGAATGTTGGGAATTGTAACATTTTGGATAAAAGACACGGTTATGTGCTGTTTTCATTATAACCTAGATAATATTCTCTGAGGTGTTCTGTTTCTTACTGCTTGTGCTGCTTATCTTAGCAACAAAGTTTAAAATAAACGATTATGTTTCAGGTGTTCACAAAGATCTTGGCTGCCCAATGAGAACGTAGAAACGGATATTTAAAGATAATTATCTATCTTCATTTACATAATGAGTCCATAAAACAATAAGCTAGTAAAAGATACTCTTGCGTTTAAATAGTCTCACTGATAATTTCTTACACTATTGATTGTTTAAATAACTATTTTCTTAATGCGTTTGTGTTAGAAATAAGCGTCCCACAGTCATTGAAGTAAAATAGAATATGACATGTACAACTTAGATGTTGTCTGTGTTATTGGACAACATTTTGTATACCCGAAAAGAAACCCACTTGTAACTGTATCTCATTTTTATCAAAGGAAAATAAAACCACGTCCTGAAGTCTCTTAAGTTTATATTACTTGGACGGAGAAATGGAAATTATTGACCTCCACCTTTGTTCATTTTGTAACAATGTCGAAGATCACCTTTTACGGTTCACACATGTATATAGTGTGTTTAGAACCAACAAAAAAAGAAAGAAAGAAATAATAATCGTAGGAATTCCGCGTGATTGTCTTCTGCAAATTTCAATCGTTAAGCACAAATAAAGCAGGATTCAATGTTAATTATGAAAATGGTTTTCCAATTGATAGAAAAGGAATACTGTATTACCGCTAGACCGACATGCGGGTAAACGGGGGGGGGGGGGGGGGGGGGGGGGGGGGGGGGGGGGGGGGGTCTAAGTTATATCATTGAATTTGGAATACAATATTAAAGTAATTTTTTCCTTTTGAAGTCTCGATGGAAAAACGTTGTGAAATTAACCCAAACTAGGCTTATTTTATATTGAACGAGTCTTGACATTTCTTTTCAGAATGTTCTTAAAAAACCCCTATAATGTGTACGTTTGCTCGACTGCCGGTAATCTTTCTCATTAATGCGACTGATTATGTGATTATGTTTACGTCCCAATCGATGCGATAATGTATGCGCTTCTGATGAATCTGAACATAACAAAAATACGTTGATTGGAATGTAACGTGGTTGTTGTGATCAGTGGTTAATTTGTACGTAATGTACATGAACCGTATACATGTACCGGTACTCAATTTCACAAAGCTGCAAGAGAAAAAAACCTTTAGTGCCTAGTCTAAAATTTGGATATTACGAACACAAAATGATATTAATATAAATTCCGTATATGATTACATGTACGAAATCACGCAACAATGACAACTAAAAAAAAACAAAAAAAAAAACAACCCCCATTATTTTAGATGGAGGCACAAGAAATTAGTACATGTACTGAATAAACCTATGTTTACCCAAAGTGGAAACATAGTAACAAAATAAAATAGATCATTCAACGACGTGTTTGTCTAAAACATTATAATGCAAATGTTGGACACAGGGTATGCAATGTATTCGAATGCAAATCTTAACTAAAGTACCTGCGTGACCCGTTGAAACTTATCATCAAAGAGTTTATTTGTTCCTTGGTTGTTTGTTTGTCTGCTCATTTCAAGTGCATTTAGTTTACGCTAATTGTGAAAAAAAAATCATTGTTAATAGCGCATGTGTGATGTCATTTTGGTAGAAATTTCAATATTACGGCCATGCATGTACAACACTGTTGCCAAAAGTTTGGATTTTCCGGAGTCGTAGTTTTATCATGTTTTGATTCGGTTTGTTTTGCTTTGTTGTTTTATTGGTATGTCTGCCTCTTGGGGTGTAAGGGTGTTTGTTTCATTGGTTTATTTAGTGTTGTTTGGTTATTTGTTTGTGAGAAGTTTGTTGTGGCGGGGAGGGAATTATATATTTGATGCATAGGCCCTAAATGTATTTGAAGCGCCAATTTATTTTTGTTTCTTATTTTTATTATTATTATTTTTTTAAGAACAAAAAAAAAGGAAATGAATGGTTTCTTTCTGAAACAATATTGCAGTAAAGAGTATCATCACTTTTCTAGGCGTAACCGTAATATATTATTATGAGTAGAAGGTACACAAATTATGATCCGAAAAAAGAAAAGAAATTCTTCCGCAGACTTTTTTTTTATACTTTAGTAGACTGTTCGGAAACGATAATGTTCAGCGAAGCAATCTTTATATACATTATAAAGAATTTTCTGTGCTATTTTTAGAATTCTATTTTTAGAATTAGTTCATCTCCCCTGAAGGCTATATAAGTTGAGGATCTTCGTCAAGAGAATCATTTTGAATGTGGATATTGACAGCGTCACGTCGCTCTCGAGTAAGTGCTTTATACTTACATTTTATACAGCGCATTCCAAAATACCTGCAACATTTTTTTCTCTCAATAACGATTTCCTTTATTCCCTTCATTATCCAGATTCCTTACAAGTTGCAAGATGAGCCATCAGAGAACCCTGAACCCCTTTCCGACAAGCACTCCGCCCAGTGTACAGTTCCTTCGATGCTTGCAAGAGGAGCTGGATACCGACCCAGATGAAGACCAGCTTATGGTAAGCATGACGGATATTAATTGACTGTCATTGTCTTAAGCCCTCCTATTCCCTTCATGGCTTGTACAATGGAAAGGTCACCATAACTCCCGCTACAAGCCATCGTTATACGATTTGAAAAGTTTGTTTCATTTCAAAATTATCCTTTGTTAATAAATACATTAAAAATAAACATGTTAATAACAATCTGTTTCTTTTATCTCCTTATTTGCAGATTGTTGACGTTCCTCCTGACCATGCCACCACGAGGGAACTCCAAGACTTGCGGTAAGGACAAGCGGGTCAAAAGCAAGACGAAAATGCAGCCAAACGGAAACGGTTTCCGTGCTCGGTGTGCGGCAACGTCTTCCATCACTTGACCAACCTGATTCGACACCGGAAGCTACATAAGATCGGACCGAGTGTCAACAAGAAGGCCATGACATGTCCGGTGTGCGGCAAAGCGTTCTCTCGTCCTGACAACATGAAACGCCATCGTAAGAGCCACACTGCAGATCAGCCGTCGTCTCCTATCTGTCCAATTTCGGATCAAGACAATGTAGAGTCGACACGTGCCGAGGCCGGAACAAACAACCCTTCCCCAAATTTGGATGCTTCAACTGCAATATGTCCTGCCTGCAGAGATGTTTTCCCGAGGGTGAGTCATACATGTATGTTACGGCATCTGCAAAACAACCATGGCGGAATGTCGGCAACTTATCCAAATCCAAACGAGCCAAACCCCGAACCCTATCAGTCCGTCCATAAGGATGTAGGGAATTCCCATATGGAGGTCGTTTCCGATGTCCTTACCTCCTCATCGCCGACCCTTGAGCCACCACTGTCCCCACCACATTCACCAGAGGTGCACAACTGCCCGCTGTGTGACAAGTCTCTTAGTCGATATGACAGCGTGAAAAGACACATCAAAACGTATCATGAGGGCGGTCCAACTCAACAGTCATTGCCCGAAGAAACCCTAACAGACGGGGAAATGCTCCACGCACAGTCGATGGAAACTGTCCTGGAAGATCCCCAAGAGTTTCCCGCTGATGCACAGCAAGTGGCTGATGATATTCTCAGTAAGCTCCGTCAACACTGGTTGCCCATTCGCATGCATTACACGACAGAGCGCCGAATTCAAGATGTGTATACTCGGTTGTAGACGTTGACAAGGCTTTGAGTATGATATTCCACCGCCTGAAGTGCCGCGCGAAGATGTTTTTTTTTTTGAATAACACAACTTGACTAAACTAACTTTTGAGAGGAGAGGTTACAAGCACTTCACTCTCTATGATTTCTGGCGGGGTTTCGTCTGACAGGTGGATTAGTCTGGTTTTCAGCAGGTGTGTCATACATGTCCATGTCCGAGTCATCTGGATCGTAGTGGACTGGTTGTTATGCTGGTGTTGAAATGGTCTGCTTCAGGCGTTTGAAGAATGAGGCATTTCTGGTGACGGTGGTGTTGTCGTCACGGGTAGCTGTTACCATGGATCCTTTCAGTGATGTGATGGTGAACGGTTGAAGTTCTCTTTCTTTCTTTCGTGTGAGTTAGTAGTACTGTACATCAGGCTATTTCTTGGAGCTGCGTAAGCCAGTTGATTTGTGCGTCTTTTGGGCACGACAGATCAGTCATCCCGTCAGGAGGTTGGAGGTCGGGGCAGTGGTATAATATATGATCTGCCGTCTGCTCATCTGCACCACAGGTGCATGCCGGTGAATCCCGGAGTTTCCAGCGGTGCATGTTGGCATTGAATCTCCCAACCCCAGTTCGCAGCCGGTTCAGTGTAACCCACTTCCTCCGGGGTAGTTCCGAGCCAGCAGGGGCTTTGGTGCCAGGGGGAACAGTGAAATATGGTGTCATGGAAGTGGAGATGATTCCAGTTTGTTTCACCAGAACACGGTCACCAACCTTTAGCTTGTGTCTGCGCATGGAGTTTTTCTTGTCGGCATTTGTCTTCATGGTTTCCTTCATGTGTGCGTCTTTGGCTTTGATGTCGGGTTGGACTGGAGCAGTGTGAACATCAGGCAGGCGAGTGCGGAATGAGTGGGCGAAGAGTAATGATGCAGGTGTGACGCCGGTAGTACTATGAGGGGTGGATCTGTAGTTGCGGAGATATGCATACATAGCCTGCTGCCAAGATCGGCCTTCGGCTTTTGCAGTGCGATACATTTTGTTCAGATTCCACATCATGCGCTCAACCTCGCCGTTTGCTTGAGGCCAGATGGGTGTGATGCGGCGATGTTGAAATCCAATGTACTTGGCAAAAGACGCGAATTCTGCACTCTGAAATGGTGGGCCATTATCTGTGCGAACAACTTGTGGGCAGCCAAAAGTTGCGAAGATTTTGTCGAGTTTGGGGATGACAGATTTTGCAGAGGTGGAGCTTGTGATTTCAATCTCAGGATAACGACTGTAGTCGTCGATCACGACAAGCAGGTAGTCACCTGTTGGCAGTTGTTTGAAGTCGATACTGAGATGTGTCCATGGTGCGTCGGGTAGATCAGACATGTGAAGTGGTTCGCTTGTGGCTTTGTCCACAGTTGAGGCTTGGCATGGTAGGCATTCAGCTACGGTGTTCTCAACTCGTGTGTCAAGTTGGGGGAACCAAACTTTCTGTCAGAGAAGTTGTTTGGTTTTGACCATGCCTTGATGGCCTTCGTGTGCAATGTCAATGACGCGTTGTTGGAGTGCGGTCGGAATGACAATGCGATGATCGCGCAGTAGAATATCCTCAGCGCTGCTAACACTGAGTTCATGGCGAACATGGAAGATGCTGGTCAGATCAGATGTCACAGTTGTGTCGGCTGTTTTGATGATCTGGTTCCATGCGTTGGTTTTTGTGGCATCGATGGCCAGTTGGAGGAGGCGATCATTCTTTGTTGCATCCTGTATTTCTGCAAGAGTTAGCGATTTAGGGACAGCGTTGTGGATGATGAAGTTGACATGCTCCTCTGCGTTAGGCTCTGACTGTTGAGTTGTCGAGCATGGGTGTCGCGAGAAATAGTCTGCAGGGTTAGACTTGCCTGGTTTGTAGTGAACCTGGAAGCTGTATGGCTGCAGTTTTAGCAACCATCTCTCGATTCTCGCGGGTGGATTGGAGTAGCTGTGGTTGAACATTGGCAGAAGAGGCTTGTGATCGGTAGTGACAGCAAATGTGTTAACGAACAAGTACAGGTGGAAGTGGAGAATACCCCAAGTGATTCCAAGGGCTTCTCTCTCAGTCTGTGAGTAGCGTTGTTTGACTGCTGTTAGCGATCGGCTTGCTACTGCTACAATGGCTGTGTTTCCAGTAGAGTCATGTTGAACGAGTAGTGCGCAAAGTCCGATGGGGCTGGCATCGACAATGATCTCGGTTCGGCTCTCTGGATTGAAGTAAGCGATCTTGCAATGGTCAGTGATTGACTGTTTGATTTTGTCCATCGCGTCGCTTTGTTGTTTTCCCCATATCCATGGAGATGATTCCTTTGTTAGTGCACGAAGTGGTTCAGAGATCAGTGCTAGTCTGGGTATGAAGCGAGCGCAGTAGGTGGCTAAACCCAGGAAGCTACGAAGCTCTTCCTTGTTGGCTGGAGGTGCTGCGTCAGTGAGTGCTTTCACCTTAGCGGGGCTAGGTGCAACACCGTCTGCTGAGAAGATGTGACCAAAGAATTCCACACTGCTTGCATGGAACTGGCATTTGGCCTTGTTGAGCGTCAAGTTCTTCTCTCTGAGGCGTTGTAGACAACGTGCCAAGTTGTCTTTGTGCTCTTCGGTGGTTTTCCCGTACACAAGTATGTCATCACTTATGTTCAGGACACCTGGCAGTCCAGCCAATGTAGATTGGATGAGGTTCTGGAACTGTTCAGCACCACTGTCGACTCCGAAGTTGAGTCGCTTGAATTGGTACAGACCAACATGTGTTGAGAAGGTGGTCAGGTAACGCGAGTCCTCATCAAGTTCGATTTGATGATACCCACTGTTGAGATCAAGTTTCGAAAATACTTGAGCTCCGTTCAGCTTGACGATGATGTCATCGATGGTCGGTGTGACATGCCTTTCTCGTTCAATGGCTTGATTGACGGCACGCATGTCAATGCAGAGTCGTATGGTGTTAGGGTCTTTAGGCTTGGGTACCACACGGATCGGTGATATCCAGGGAGTTGGAGTGTCGCTGACTGGTTCGATGATGTCGAGTGTTTGAAGGCGTTTCAGTTCAGCCTCCACTTTATGACGAACGTGGAAGGGAATCCTGCGATGCGGTTGAGCCACGGGTGTGACAGATTTGTCAACATGAAGTTTGCACTTCACATCAGTCAACTTTCCAATTCCTTCGAAGCGGTTGGCGTATTGAGCCACGATGTTGTCAACTGACAATGATTCAGCGTCGAGATTGTACGTTAGCTGTACAATGTTCAGTGACGGTGCAGTCTGGAAGCTGAGAAGCGTATCGCCTTGTCCCTCGATTACATGAAACTCGCAGCTGATGGAGTTGTCTTTGTACGCAACTGTCACAGTGACTTTACCGATGACAGGGAGCGGAGTCTTTGCACCATAAGCGTAAATGTTCGCGTTGTCTGGGTGCAAATGTGGCTGAGGGAGTTGGCTGAAAGTTGTCTGGCTCATTATGTTGACAGATGCTCCGGTATCAATAAGGGCACAGGTATGTTTACCGTCTATGACGATGTCGATTCGCGGTTGTTTTTTGTTTTTGCGATGGACGATGAACGCATATTCATCGTCAGATGTGGAGCTGCCCGGACCAGATTCATCTTGAGCTGTGTGCACTCTGTGTGAGAACTTCTTGGTGCGGCAGACTGAAGCAAAGTGATTCTTCTTTTTACAGAAATCACAAGTTTTGCCGTAGGCAGGGCATGTGCCTGAATGTGGGTAATTTCCACCACAGTTATGACATGTCTTTGATGAAGACTGGTGAGGTGCATGGGACGACTTGTCAGCATTTCGTGACTGCGATTTTTGCGGGCGTTGCCTTGGTTGCCACTTTTGTTTCTGTGGTCGCCTGCGAACTGCACTGACTTGAGGCTGTGGCTGATCCATGCTTTTGAGTTGCTCTGACGCAGTTGTTGCAGCCCTGATTAGTAAGACCGCTTTGTCTATAGTGTGAGTTCTGGGTCATGAAGTAGGCGCTGCTTGAGGCCAGTTTCTCTGATCCCTAGTATGATACGATCTCGAATCAAACTGTTTTTTAACTCACCAAACTCACAGGTGTCGGCCAGTGTCTTGACTCAGTGCTGTGACAAATGCATCAACTGTTTCTCCTTCACGTTGAACTCTACAGTTAAGCAAGTAGCGTTCGTATGTGGTGTTCTTCTTTCCTTGGCAGAACGCGGCGAACTTGTCGACAACTTTGTCGTATTTCTTTGCATCACTGTCGTTTGTCCATACGAACGTGTTGTACGTGTCGATGGCGGGTTGACCGATTACAGACAGGAATGTTGCCACGCGAATAGTGTCATCCTTCTTATGAACTCCAGTAGCTACTTCGAAGTTCTGAAAACGCTGTAAGAATTTTGTCAAACTCTGATAGAGATTTCGATCGTTGAGATCGAGCGGCGATGGCGCTGGTATGCTATACTGCGCCATGCTGGACGATTCACACTGGTCTGATGCGAGTCAAAATCAACAGCGAAAATCGACGAAAATCATCGGCATCCGAGGATCATCAGCGGAGATACACGCATATAATGATTCAGGAATGTTATTTTATTCACTCGTCGCCAATATGATGTCTGACTAAGACTAATGAATGATAAATATCGGAGCCGAAATGAATGGACAAAGGAGACACGATTGTGCAGGATGGATACCTCGTGTGAGAGTCTATAATTTAGTACATGCCATTCAGGTCAAGGGTCATCAGCATATACTGCTCTAGAACACATGCAGTAGAAGGTGGCTATACAAATGCATTGCAATAATGTAAACATTACAATGCTGATGCCGGTACATGTCGATGACGAAGATGAGGAAAACGAGGTTGATAAAATGACAGAAGAGGAACAATGTCCTAGTAAATCTACGATCCAGGTGGAACTGATCAGGCGTTCTCACCGCCGCTATCCCGATACTCTGTATCTTAACCTGTGGGGAAATCATTTCTCCTACATTTCCGATCTCAGTAAG